TTATGACATGAAGCACGAATTTTCTCCTATTATGACATGAAGCACGAATTTTCTCCTATTATGACATGAAGCACGTGTTTTCTTCTATTATGACATGAAGCACGAGTTTTCCCCTATTATGACATGAAGCACGAGTTTTCCTCTATTATGACATGAAGCATGAGTTTTCCTCTATTATGACATGAAGCACGTGTTTTCCTCCATTATGACATGAAGCACGTGTTTTCCTCCATTATGACATGAAGCACGTGTTTTCCCCTATTATGACATGAAGCAAGTGTTTTCCCCTATTATGACATGAAGCACGAGTTTTCCTCCATTATGACATGAAGCACGTGTTTTCCCCTATTATGACATGAAGCAAGTGTTTTCCCCTATTATGACATGAAGCATGAGTTTTCCCCTATTATGACATGTGGCAATTACATAATACGGTTTCAATTTTCTGGTATGAGGCACGGATAAGGCACATAAAATCAATAGAAAAAGCCTAATCTGCACAGATGATGTCCTCAGCTGCCAATTCATATCCACCATGGCATATGATGGTATTCAAATCATCGGCAATATTTGTTGTTAAAAATGGTTTAATTTTTATGAAGAAATGGACCCAGAGTGGCATCAAATCACTTGAGTGTTTTCACACTGGAAATAAAACAGTCGAACTTGTACGATGATCCTGGATTTGAACCTGAATTATCTTTTTAAGTGTGATATAACTGAGAAAATAATATGCCTAATAGGTTAATGGAATAGTAACTCATTAAAACTTCAAAAGAACAATGATAATGACTTAACCTTCCAAAGAACACAGCAGATATTTAAGTAAATATAAAGAACTGATGTAGAAATATATATTTTTCGTCATATATAAACTAACTTCTCATTGGTGCACAGAATGGAAGGAAGTCACACGTCGAGAGTCATACAATAATTACAAAATATTATTGCTAAAGTATCAACTGTACCACGGACAGGAAAAGGATGAGGTCAAGATTTTTCTACACATTTCCAGAGAGAGATTAACAATAATTACAAAAAAGATATACAGTAGGCTAAATAGGCCTTTTAAATTGAAATTTGACATAAGTTAAGTTCTTCTTATGAACAAAATGTTACCAGATGTGAAGTTCATTTAACCACCAAGATGGTGTACCAACTACTATCTCGATTATTCTCAAGAGCAATCTGGGCTCGAAGATTGAGAATCTGGTTAGGCTATTCTCAAGAGCAATCTGGGCTCGAAGATTGAGAATCTGGTTAGGCTTTAATTCTAACCACTGGAATAGTATATATATCAACACTGAGATTAATGAAGTGGATATCAACACTGGGATTAATGAAGTGGATATCAACACTGGGATTAATGAAGTAGATATCAACACTGGGATTAATGAAGTATATATCAACACTGGGATGAATGGGATATCAACACTGGGATTAATGGGATATCAACACTGGGATTAATGTACATTCCATAAAAATGTTATCTAATAATTAGAAATTAAATCTTAACTGAGGAGTGGAGTATGCTTTACTCATGCTAATGCTTTAATAAGCTTATTAATGTTTATCTTTTTTTAGTAAATTTTCATATTGCTTCTTGGTTTTAGCACTTAAGTGTAAAATCATTTTACATCGATTATTATGAACTTTGGTTAAAACCACATACGGAACACAGTTAAGTAGGCCCAGTGGTTATTGTGCTGAAATGTAGACATGAAGTTTAGCGGTGTGTGTGTCATTAGTGCAAAAATATTGTATTTAAAGGTGTGGGTGCATTATAGGAGTGACAGTCAAACACCACTATTCTGTAAGAGTAGCCCAAGGGTTGGTGGTGGGTGGTATTGACTAGTGGCCTTTCTTCGAGTCTATCATTTCAAAATTAAGGATGGTTGGTGTAGATACCCCTGTGTAGCAGTGCGTGAAATTCAAACAGATTTTAAAGAACAGTTCGAAATTAATGAAACCAACTCTATATAAAAACTTATAAGAAATACAAAGCATAATATATCAACATACAAAAAAAAATCCATAAGACCTATAATGATTATAATGCATTGAATTATCAGTTGGGTGGTGTCACTATTAACAATATTTTAACAACTAAACTACTGGAGATTC